TGTCAAAGGACCGAGATTGGCACGGCGCCAGCCAGTTTTTCGCCACTTGTTAACGCTTTTCCTCTTCAGTGAATGGCGAAAGAACAGGCTTGCGTCACGCTAACCCAGCGTCCTTGGCACGCCCTAGCGTCTGCAGCGGAAAAGACTCTACATGTACCATTTTTATGAAAAAATCCGCCTCCGAGCCCTGGGGAGCCGTTAGAATCCCATTTCATCTCGTTAGTTCTTTTTTCAACCAAACCTATGGTGGAACAAAGAAATTGTAACCAGTAACATACCAAATCAGAAAAGAAGAGGTGGACATGTGGTGGACCTACTTAACAAAAGGGAAGGTACGTTTGTCCCCTGAACCAACGTAACTCGTCAAAGACTGGTGATGAAAAAGTGCCCGACTGGTGTTCAGTTCGCGCGTGTCCCACTCCTTTCCAGAGTTTTGACCATTTAGACCGTCATTTTGCGGGCAGTGCGGCTGGTTGGAGCCACCAAATAGAACTAGCGAAGACTCCACAGTCCACCTTGTGAAGATCTGTATTTTTCTATACTAAAGTTCCTCACTTGTACCATTTTGCACGAGTTACCTGTCTCAGCAAAACGAGACATGTTAGATGACATGACTAGCAAAACTTTTTTCGCAAGATGTAAAATGCCCCTCCCAAGCCTATCAGCGCCTCCTCTTGTATTCTTACATAATGTAGCTGACTCATTACGCCTTACAATCTAAACTGCTGGGATTCATCGTCACTGAATTATATGGAGTCTCGGTTTCCATAATAACCAGGAAAAAGGCAAATTACGTCACCAGTTTGGTGCCTGGCTTTTTCCTGCGGAAGTCGAACAGCTGAAATCGTATATAGAAATTCAGAAATGTCTAGGATTACTGTACCTGTATGTGATGCAGCTGGCAGCAATTTGGAATTTTACAACTTGCATTTTCACCTTTCCCTTTCGCGTCATAGCGGGAACAGTTTGTATGAGTTTGAGGCCTTTCGACGAGATCTGCAAGTAGGTGTCATTACTCTGCTCAGTTCAGGCATTTTCCTCAGAGGAATTCCTAACCTGCACGGTCGCTTTGTTAGGTGATCCTTTGGTAGGTGTCTCTCAAGAGTTGACGCATAATTGGTAGGACCACCTTAATGTGAAAGCAAAATTTAACGTTTGAGGAACATCGTAAGGAGCAAATGGAAAACTTCGCGTGGAG